ACTAGAGATGTCCGTGCTAAGGTCAAATGAAGGTGACGATGAGAAGACAGAACGAGGGAGTTCCGAGGTTGACTTTGGTTTGCTCGTTTGGCGGCACCCCACTCCCAAGGCACTTATTCTTAACGGTCCTCAAGGTGGCAGCCGTTCTGACCCCTGTAAAATCGTCTAATGCACTAACGGTTTGCAACACCAAAGATTTTGGTCGTATACAGCGCCGAATGAAGGCATACACGATTTCCAATTTCAAGAGTATATTCATAAGCAACTTTATTTCACCCACCCATTCTTCAGAATAACGCAATTATGACAGATAGGAAAGAAAAACCAAGAGGCAAAAAACCCAAGCCAGAAAACCCAATATCCGCAGCCACCAGAGCCTGGCTCATCTCACTACCTCCACAAACACAACCATGGAAGGGCCAAGACGAGCTCGAGACTCTCCTCAACCAGCACACGCCCAAACGGTTCACAGTATATGAGCCCATGCTGTTGCTCCCCAGCGGAAGTTTCAACAAGGGTCCATGGCCAGCCATTCTCAACCACCCAAATATCAGGAACGATGAGATTCATCGCCTGTGGGAGGCCATCCTCCGAGACGTTTCCAAGACCGGCTCAACAGCCCTGACGCATCTCGCCGTCAACGAAGGAATTCCCCTGCAAACAGACATAGATTTCGAGAGTCTTGAAGTCGAAAAGAGCGAGAATATCCTGCGGACGCCAAGTGGGCTCAAGATCCTCCACGGCGACTTTGGCCCCTCCAACAACCCCGCCAACCCCTCGCCTCAAGACTTTGAGGGAGCTTTCTGGGTGTCGACTAAGCAAAACGGCATACATCAAACATGGGCTCCGCGGTGGACAATGTTCAGCCGGGGCAACATCAAAGAGAAGACGCGCCTCCTCGACTTTCACAGCCAAGCCGGTCCAGACACCACGTTTCCACGCCGTCAACTACCAGCATCTGCGCTCAAGAAGTACTGGGCGGTAGACATGTATGCAGGCATCGGCTACTTCACCTTCTCCTACGCCAAACTCGGACTAAAGGTCCTTTGCTGGGAACTCAACCCGTGGAGCGTCGAAGCACTCCGCCGCGGCGCCGTGGCCAACGGCTGGCGCATCAAAGTCATACAAGGAAAGGACCTATCTCTCTCAGCCGCACAACTGTTTTCAGGCGATGAGCAAATCACAATCTTCCTCCAGGATAATCAACAGGCTATGCCTAGAATAGCAGACATGCGAGCGTCGGGCACGGTAGTCAACATTCTACACGTCAACGGCGGGCTTCTCCCGACCAGCGAGCCCACGTGGCGACCGGCGTGGGATATCACCGCGCCGTGCGAGGGTGACTGCTGGCTCCATCTGCACGAGAACGTAGGCGTCCACGAGATTGAATCGCGGCGCTCACAAATCCAACGCCTCTACGACAGTTGGGCAGTAGCGACAGATGGCGGCAGCGGGCGAGACGCGATGGTCGAGCATGTCGAATTAGTCAAGACGTACGCGCCCGATGTATGGCACTGCGTCTTTGATGTACATATTACAAGATCTAGTAGTGTTACATGATCATTTTCATGAATCTCTCTTACTCGTCGACGTCGTCAAATCCCTGTTCTGCCTTACGTCCTGTCATCCTCGATCCTCCCCACCCCAGAGGAAACCGAAGCGGCTATGACCGACGGAACTTTTGCGGGATGTTCTCCTCCACGACGGCCATGTGGTCGAGCTGCTCTTGCCTGTCCTGCGCGTCCTCCATCTCCTCGTGCTTCTTGAAATGTTCGATATCTTCGGGATGCGTCAGGTCTTCGAGCTTGGTGTTTTCGTCATGGTACCTAGATTGGTGCGCTTCTCGTCAGCTCCTCATTCTTCCTTGTCTGCGTTTTCGGAACCGCGGCAAATGACTTACTTCTCCCAGTGGTGAATCTCGTACTCGTACTCGTCGTCGCCGTGGTGTCCCGGACCCATGCCGACGTCGGGCAACGTCTTGCCGCTGGCGATGAAGGCGTCCCACTCGGAGCGGTTGACATTGCCGTCCTGGTTCGTGTCAAGCAGCTCCATGAGGTTATGGAGGATGTCGAAGCGCTTCTCCTCGGAGACGTGGTGGTTCGTCTCGTCAAAGAGGCCGTATGTGCGGAGGATCTCGTCGCCTTGCCAGACGCCGTCGCTGTTGTAGTCGTGCAGGGTGAAGAAGGAGGCCGAGTCCCAGCCTTCCATGTGGTGCTCCTCTGTAAAGAAGGGCGGAAAATTGTCAGTCGCGCATTACTTTTCGGATATCTTGGGGTTCCTGTCATGTTTGCATACCGGCCATGTGCTTCGTCATCCAATCGGCGTTTTCGTCGACTATGGGTTTCTGGCTGTGGTCGCCGCCGCCGTGGGCGAGGGCGCGGCTGGCGAGCGCCAGAGCGGCGAGGTATACGGTGTGCATTGTGGTATTTATCGCTGGAGGAGGTGCTTGTTGGATTTTGGGGGGTTGCTTTTCGTATTCCTCGAGATGGAGTCGCGAGTTTGCTGAATTGTTGACGACACGTGTAACAATTGCAGACAAAAGATCAGACACTCTTGGAATAAGGTACACAATGGGAGCTAGGCGCCGATGAAGTTGAACAAAGAGCCACAAAGATTTTGGGGGGGCCGATCAATGGGTACGGTATCTAAGTACCTTTGGACCAAGGTTCAATTTAGAAAAGGCTGACAAAAAGCTGGGCCAAAGATGGAACTTTGCGGTGTCGGAATTGCTGAGGAACACACGGTAGACTGGAATGGGGAATGGAGAACCAGGAACGGGGGAATGGGAATATTCACGGGAACAGGTGGCGTTCCGCCATGGCCAATTCAGGGGATTGCCTCTGAGCCTCCCACACTCCAACACTCCAACACTCCCACACTCCCGTCCTTAGCCTTAGGTTTACTCTTCAGGGAGCGGCAGACGCAGGGATCGGCGATTGACAGGGGGCCCGCGGGGGGGGGGGCTTAAACATTCTAGACCCGGGGTCGCGGCGTGCCAATTAAGCTTGGGTGCCTCGGTGACGCAACAAACCCATTCTCGACACTACCTCAGCTCCTGAACACTTTTTTCTACCAGCTTGACACTCGACATTGACGACCGACTTCGACCCTGCCGACTAGCATAGGAAGCATAGAGAAACATAGCTTACACGCCAATTGAGCGAGCCCCGCTGACACCAACGTGCCCTTTCGCCCGTCCAAGAGTCTCAAAGCTGATACTAAGCTCTCACGCGCCTCGACGCGTCTTGCGCAAAAAGCTCTTCAACCCGCACAACCCACCCTTCACAATGAATCGATCAATAGAGCATACACTCCTCTCGCTGATGCCGACCCACGGCTCAGCTTTGCCACCGTCCCTGGTAGAGCTGGCGGGTTCTCTACTAGCACAGTCGAGACACCGAGCAAGCACATTAAAAGCAGACGAAGAAATCGGGCGATTATACGCATGCGCTCACATCGCCTGCGACAGGTAAGCTCACACCACCGCCCCAGACACACAAAAACACACACATGCTTTCTCCTCGACGCCAGTTACTAACACTCCCTCAGACTCAAAATCACCCTAGACCTCCCCCCAATCGAACCACGACCGCCAATCCCCCCTCGAATCTACAAGCGCCTCTACAGCCACCTCGACAACATCCTCCCCAACACAGCCCTCAACCGCACCCCAGGCAAAAACGGCACCCCACGCAACAGGCAACGCCACGGCGTCGACTCCCCCGTCAGAACACCGCACCGCCCAACACCGACAAAAGACAGATCTCTCGCGCAGTTCCGGAGCGGCGGCGGTGGGAACCCAGCGGCAAGCGGCAGCGTACCCAACACCCCGACGAAATCAACAGGCAAAGTCGCCTACCCCAAGGACAAGTCGGGCCTCCACTTTTGGATCCAGCCGACGATCCGCCTCATGTGCAGGGATACCAACCAGAAGCACCTCGCGCCGACGATGCTGGCCGGCATGGAGTACGTCGTCGTCCCCGGCGGGCTGCGGACGCGCGATGCTTGGGTGCGGGAGAATTTGGCCGCGCTGTGCGGCGCCGTGTATTTCTTCGTCGCGCAGCAGGTGCGGAAGCTGGCGACGGGCGAGGATGTGGATCGGGAGAATTACGTCCCTGCGCGGAAGCAGGTGCTGGAGTTACTGGCCAAGGCGAGGGAGGAGGTTGATACGCGCGGGTTGGATGAGGATGAGGCGTGGGAGGGGTGGTTGCCTGTAAAAAGTAAGGAGTTTGATGCTGCGGTGAAGGAGGTCTCTGAACGGGGGTGGCTGGATGCGGATTGGTATCGTAGTTTGGGGGATGTAATTGAGGCGGGCCATGTTATTGCTGATAGCCATGGTCGGGGAGGGGAGGATGCGGGTGGGTACAAGGCGCCTGTACGCGGAGCGGATACGATGTTCTTAGAGCGGTATGACTTTTTGAGCGAGAAGAAGCGCAGGGAGTACAGGATATGGAAGGAGACTATACTCAGGAAGATAGATTTGATGGAGAAGGAAAATGGTGACGCTATGGAAGTCGATGGCTAGAGGGGATGAGATGGATATCGAATACCATGACAAAGAACCACGGGAGATCAGTTTCTTGAGGGCATTTGCCGTGAGATGTTGTAGTTGTGAAGGGGTCTTGGCCGTCGGGACCGGGCCAATACCGGCATGAGGTCGGCTTGCGGGGCCGGTCTGCAGAAAGAGCCGCCGACAAGCCGGATAGTCGGCGCTCTAATTACTAAGAATATGCATCTCTTCGAGCACTTCACTTCTTGGGCGGCCTTCTGCCACCTAGGTAATGAAGCACCGATGAAGCTCCTTAGGAGTGCAACCCCCCCTTCATCTTTCCACAAAATTTTGAGCCTTGCTTATACAAAAGTTCTTGAGTGGAAATTTCAAATTCTATAAGCGATGTCTACCTCATGCATGCTAACTCTTTTCCAAAACGTCACATCATCACATACAACCCCCCCCCCCCCTGCGTCTACAGGCCCTCTCTATCTTCCCAGGCCAAGACTCACTGATCATCCTCAAGCCCAACCATCTTCAAACTCTCAACCCACAACCTCTTCTCCGCCTCAACATCATACGCCGCCGGCGCATACCCAGGCGCGAGCATCCCCGCCTCAGGCTTCACCTCCTCCGCCTCGGCACAATCCTCCAGATACCTCCCGCCTTTGCCCTCCCACTCCTTTGCGACAGCAGCCCAAACAGACGTAGCCGCGCCCTGCGCGGGACTCTTCATGACCTTGTGGACCGCCGGGTCTTTAATCATCTCGGTGATGCCAGGCTGGTGGCGCTGCAGCGGCGTCTCGATGCCGCCCGGCATGAGGCTGAGGGCGTGGAGGCCGCGGGCGCCGTAGCGGCGGTCGAGTTCGTTTGCAAAGAGGATGTTTGCGAGTTTTGCTTGGCCGTAGCCTGCCCAGGGTGTGTATTCTGCGGTGTGGTCAAAGTGGAAGTCTTCAAATTGGATGCGGCCGCCGCGGTGGCCCGAGGAGGAGACGGAGATGACGCGGGAGTTGAAGGTTGGGGTGGAGGAGGCGAGGAGGGTTGGTTTGAGGAGCTGGAAGAGGAGGAAGTGGCCTGGAGGAGGTTTTGTGTTAGTTAGGATTGAAGATCTTTTCTTTCTTCTTCTTCTTCTTCTTCTTCTTCTTCTTCTTCTTGTGAATTGAGTTGCTTACCGAGGTGGTTTGTGCCGAATTGGGTTTCGAATCCGTCAACTGTCTTGCCCTTGGGACAGGCCATGACTCCTGATAGTTATGTTAGCCCATGTGACCTCTTTACTAATGCAGCAAGTATCAACATACCAGCGTTGTTGACAATCACATTCAACTTGTCAGACTTCGCCAAGAACGCCTTGGCGCCCTCTCTTACGCTCTCGAGAGATCCGAGGTCCAACTTGATGACCTCGACCTTGCCGGGCTTGCCATCGGATAGGATATCCTTGGCGACCTCCTCGCCCTTGGCAACGTCGCGGACAGTGATGTAGACGTCGGCGCCGGCGACGTGGAAGGCTCGAGCGGTTTCCGGGCCGAGACCGCCGGGGGAGCAGCCGGTGACGATAACGACTTTATCGGTCCATTTCCCGACGAGGTCTTGGTCTTGGATGATTTGGACTGCTGTGGGACGGCTGTCGTTGGGACCGGAGGTGGCCTTGTGTTGTTCGGCGTAGGGCGCGAGGATGGACATGGTTGTATATTGGGGAAGGGATTTGGTTGAGGTTTGTTTATGGACTTATACGAGTCTTCTTCGTGGGGGATTGGTTGCTTTGGAGGTTATGCTGCTATTGTGTGTTGTTGTTGCTCTGATTGATGGTGATGATGATTCTAACTCAAAGCTAACAGGAGATTTCGTCTAGTATTTATTTGGGTTGAAATGCCAATGTCTAGAAGTCACTTACATGACAATGTCTCGTGGGGCAGCGGCCGACGCGGCCGCATTCACCGCATGCGATGCGGAATGTCTGGAGCTAATGGGCTTAAAGCCGCTTTTATCAAGGAGTTTCTGGACTTTGGATTTAAAGTTTAGTGGCATCGATCCCCTCCCACCCGTGCCACCCTCTTCAACGATCAATCTTGCGCATTGCCGGCGGGATTGCGCCAATGTTGCACGAGAAGTAAGTCGTAGATTTTGTCTCGAAGAATTGAGAGACTCATCACGACTTCTTTCCCATAATGCGGAAATAGTGGTATCGTTGTGCCCCACTCATATGACTCTAAGGAGACGATCTTCTACCAGCAGCCCCCTGAGTCTGAAATCCATACTCCATATCCGGCTCTTACGTCAAACTGTCAAATGGTTAAACAGCTATACTCTGTAAATGGAAGGCTATAAGTCCGGACTGTTGTGCGGACATAGATCCGCATTACATAACACCCCGCAAGTCCGCAAATGTGGGCATCATTGCGCAGGATGCGGAGAGATTCAACACCGACGCGGGATTGAAGTTGGAAAAAGTGAGCCTGGTGAGGTAATCAATCATGCCGGAAATAGGCGATAAGATGGCGGTTATGACCTACCTTACGTAAGACCAAGAAGCACACCATCGAAAGGCACGTGATGGCGGGATTAATTAAGGCTTTGGGGCGGATAGCTCGTGCATGTCGACCCACACCTGTCCGGAGAGCATCAAGCACCTCATCACGCCAAAACCTCGTCCGTCCCAAGTCCAGACCCGAGATGACGCACCGAGAGCACATGCCGCAGATTTAGTCTGATAATTATTAAGGTGTTCTGACAACCCGGGCCTGAGGTCCGGGACAAAGTCAGCAAGTCAGGTCTCGAAGTCCCCAAACTCGGATCGATGCCGAGGGCCGCCGGCCGGCCTCATCTGTGATTGGGACCCGGGGCAGCTTTTGGGAAGCTCACCCCTGCTCTCCGCTCCTAGGGACCCTACACCTCTTGAGGCTGTTCGTAAGTCCGGGGTGCCCAGGGCTGTGCAGGGCATGGCGAAGCTTCAGTGCCCCCAAATTTCCAGGGACCATGGAGCCATTCCTAGCTTTCCAGGGTGGGTGAGCTGAGGAGCTGTACGGATACGGATAGACGAAGTTGACGAACAGCTTATTCGTACTCCGTACAGAGCAAAAATTTCTTCCCTAGACTGGAAACAACCGTTAGCGAGATGAAGCTGAGGCAGACATATACTGGTGATCCGAAAATAGAGTACAAAGTACGATGACCACAAATATTGAGCCGATTTTGTCGCTCTTGATGGCATGCGACTCGCGTCATGAAGTTGTTGAAACACCACCGCGGCGGTTAATCTCCACGTTGATACAAGTGCTTACTCGGATCATGACGGTTTCTGTCAGGAAGCACTTTGGAAAGTTGACAGGACAAACTTATCTTGCATTGGCGAGTAACGAATAGCACGCGCGTATTCTGATGGAACGTGTGAGTTGGCGAATACGCAGTCATTTGCTAGTGACGATAGTACACGGCTTTGAGTTGGTATGTTGTAGGTGTTCAATGTAGGAACTTCCTGTCCACAAACATGGGAGAATACAAAATTCGATGCCCAGTCCACCTGCAATAACCATGATGTCAAATTCCACGCACCAGGTACGAACAACAAGTAAACATTTGCTTCCCACTTTCCACTTGATATCCCTCGCCCCTACCTAGATAACTGCGAAGGCTCTTCCCTCGGGCGTGTCAGGGAGTCAGGGTACTCCGTAGAGTTACCTTTGAATCTGCAGTCGCGGTGTTGGAGGCATTCCCCGCACCTTCCCACTGCGCCAATCGTCCCAGCAATCGCTCCCTGGTCCGGGGACCCCCTCCCCCCTTCCACGTTCCAGGTATCTCCCCTCAAGTTTACTTACTGTTAGTACCTCTTCCTGGTCCTGGCCACTAATTCAAGTCAAATCAAAACAAATGATCCAGAAAGCTTCGTTGGGTGTGAGAGAAGACGCAATGTTGGCTCCCGTTCCCTCCGCCGTTGGACACCTGTTGGTCAAGGAACCGATCTAAACCAAAACATGTCCCCCAGATTCCCGCTCAGATACCGTTATCCGACACGCAAGCCATCACGACCACTGGCCCCCAATTTGGACACCAGGCTCTGTCTCTCAAGTCCCATACGGAATACACTCATCTCAAGTGTGGCTCAAAGGAAGAGGCTGTACCACCACGAAGCCCCCAAGTACACTCCTTGTATCGATCCTCTCATCTCTCTGCTGCTCCCCCCTGGTAGACAGCCCACAGCGCAGCGGCTGAGCAGCAGACTGCCCAATCATTACAAACATCAACACACCAGGGGAGAGTGAAGCGAATCCCACACAGAGCGCAAACTACCGCCTTCGGAGCCTGATCCACTGCTGTGCAAAGCTCAGCATAGCAGTCAGTCAATACTGGAAGGTACAGATACCCACGGAGACCTGCCATCTTACACCCATCTCGACGTGCGTTTGTGCACATGGGGAGCTGAGTGTACGCCCCAAACACCTCTCACACTCCAAGGAAGAGACGAACAACGAAGGGAAGAAAGGAAGAAAGGACACGAGACAACGAGACAGCGGAAACAACGACCGTCCAGCAAAACAAAGTTGGCATAGACAGATCAAGGGCCGTGTGCAGTGCCCATCTCTACCCGCATAGCCCCCCGCCACATCGGGCCCCTCCACCAACAACCAGCCTCCAGGTCTGCTCAGGTACTCTCGTCTGTTACGGATACGTCTGAGTACAGATACCTTACCTTGAGAAAGCTGTGGTCTCTTCTCCCTCTACCCTCAACTCGCCAAGCTCAGTGTGCCACTTGCACGACTCCATTCGCAATCCACCACTCATCCCAGAGCTTCCCTGGCCTGATCCGACCGAACGAGCCTCGTGTGCTGCTGCTGCTTATGCTTGCCTTGGGAAAATCGATGCAGAAGCGAGAATAAGCTGCATCAGCCCAGCTGCACCCACTCAGAACCTAGGCACCCTATTTGGCTGCTTCACCTTGCTGAGGTACACAAGTCGCGCGACCTTGTGGCTTGGGCTGAGAGGTCTTGTTTCTGCTGGTCACTGCTCTCGATTCTTCTTCTCTTCCACCCCCCCATTCCGCACTCTCTCCAACAACCGCCCGCCGGTCACATCTCCAGACTCCGGAACAGAGCGCCGCTTTCTCCAACCCCTCCGACCTGACTTTGCGCCAACTCCCATCAACGCCCATCTCGACGCTGGAACGCGCACTACTACTCCCCACAGCGCCCGACCCGACAACGCCAAATCCCAGGCTACCGGCCAACTGCGATCCATTTATGTAATGCCGCCGCTTGGCCTTACGCTTTGCTCTTGCTGTTGCACGTCCCCGATAGCTTGGACACAACTGTCTGGACCCCACATCCACCAGGCGGCAACGCGCGCAGCGCCTAGGAAGCACGACTGCCGCCCACCGACACACATGAGAACCTCACCTCTATCATCCGCACAACACCCTCACCACTTCTACGCCGACGAGAGATACATCTCGGACACTCTGGCGATCCAGCCAGTATGGCCGCCTTCGTGAGGGTTTCTGGACCGCCCAACAGCAGCTTTCTGGTCGGCTACCCGGGCATTTCTGCGACGCTAGTAGGTTGGACCCTCTGTGATGACGTCGAGGAGGCTGATGTGGTCAAATTACCCTTTGCGCGCCGTTTGCTGACACGTTTTCTTGCTCACAATGTAGCCCCGAATCGAAGGCAAAGTCGAGATCCGTCCGTCACAGGGCTATTCCATGCCCGTCTCTGTTTCGCTAGTGCGCATATGTTTACAACGGAGAGAAACAATACACCCCGCCGCCGAGAATGTTGCAAAGAGACACCTGGGAACTCCGAGGAGGGAAACAACGGACGTAGTCGGCAAAGAGCTGCTGCTATTCAGATGCCAATCAGGAAAGGACGCTGAGAGCGTCATTGCGATGGATCTGCCGTTCGTACTGTTCATCCCGTTCGGAAGAGGTGGCGAAGAAACGAACCGACGAATACCCCCGGCATCATTGCAACTCCCCAGTCGAACGGCCGAGACGTACTACGAGCTTGTTGTTACCGTGCAACAAGGACACACCCTCCAGAACAAATACTCCTTTCCTATACCTCTACAGCGATACGACACCTTGTCGACTTTTGGCATGTACAACAAGCCAGAGTCGAGGCAAGTCAGCGACGCAAGTGTTGTCACACTGGGCATATCGGTTCCCAAATGGAGCTACGGCCCGCTCGACCCGATAACAGTCTATATAAAACTAGTACCCAATCCCGACTGGATGAAGAAAGCGTTGAAGGTTACGATTCAGAAGATCACCGTCACCATCGAGGAGGAGATTACGTACAACCCAGAAGGCGACGAGCCTACGAAGAAGGTCAACAAAGTAGCGAAGAACACGCAGTTGGTCAATACGAAAATGCCCGAGGCAGGATACGCAACCAATCTTGGCTTGGTATTCCCCTCCAAGGACTTGCGAGATCCGGACGGCATCATTCGAAGAGGAAAACCGGCATTTCCCTTATACGAAGTCACTTCATTCACAACGAGCTCAACCTTGTATAAGATTGAGTTCTACTTGACTGTCAAGGTATGTTTACCACACTTTGCGATACTTGCTCATGCTCACGTTTTTCATCAGGCACAGCTAGGATCTACCAGAGATTTGACTGTCAGGCAGCCACTGGTGATTTGCCCAATGGACCAGCAAGCGTGCAAGGAGGAAATGGACGCCATCGAACAGG